GTGATTTGTATCACATTATAAAAATAACTTCTCACGGAAAGGTTTGGAGAATTGTTGTTATCAAACCGAGTCCAGTGGTGAATCCACTTTCCTGCTATTGTGGTAGGATAGAGGGAGTGTTTAATTATTTTTATTATGGGTGATGGATGCATTCTATCATGTCAGAAGCTGCTCTAGCTTTATAGTTGGAGCATGACGTCACAGCTCCTAGTGTAGAAATGCTGGGCTGAGCTACCCTGGGACTTCCAGTTGATGCTTAATGTAGCAATGAGCAGCACTACTTGGATGCTCAGCCTGTGGCTGGGGAAATCATCCCAAGAACCTGTCCTGATGCTCAGGGCTTCCTTCATGGTACTTACCAGTGCAATATTACCTGTATTGCCAGGACCTCCTGCTACAAGAACTGAATGATACCTGGTTCACTTGCTCAGACAGATGATCAAGGAGGAGAAAGTGGCAAACCAGCAAAATGGCCAAATCTGAGTGGGAAATCTGTATGCAAGACCATTCCTTCCTCTGTTCCATTCCTAGTTGGAATGCTTCCTGGCATTGACTCTTCCCATGTCAAGTTTCTGGCCAGCAGAGCTGGTGGATGTGCAGCACCCAGTGTCACAAGGAAGCAAGTTGCGTCTGCCATAGGATTGCCAGGCGTCTGGTTTTTGAAAAGAACACCCAGTTGAAAAATTAAAAGTCCGGTCGGCAGCGCAGCAGGGGCCCAGGGCTAAGGCAGGCTCTCTGCCTGCCCTAGCTCTGTGCAGCTCCCGAAAACGGCCGCTAGGTCCCTGCAGCCCCCAGGCGCATGGGCGGCCAGGGAGGCTCCACGCGCTGCCCGCACCCTGAGTGCAGGGCAAGCAAGTCCCATTGGCCAGGAACCGTGACCAATGGGAGCTGCAGGGGCAGTGCCTGCAGGTGCAAGGGCAGCACGTGGAGCCACGGGCCGCAGGGACCTAGCGGCCACTTCCTGGGAGCCACGGTAAGCGCTGCTGGGACCCCACATCCCCTCCCGCACCCCAACCCTCTATCCCAGTGCAGAGCCCCCTCCTGCACCCCAAACCCCTCATCCTTCCGCCCACCCCAGAGCCTACACCCCTAGCCGGAGGCTGCACCCCCCCTGCATCCCAACCCCCTGCCCCAGCCCAGAGCCTTCTCGCGCACCATAAACCCCTCATTTCTGGTCCCACCTGGAGCCTGCACCCCCAGTCCAGAGATCATAGCCCCCTGCATCCAAACCCCTCATCCCCAGCCTCACCCCAGAGCCTGCACCCCCAGTCGCAGCCCTCACCCCCCTCCCACGCCCCAGCCTGGTGAAAGTGGGGGAGAGGAAGCAACAGAGGGAGGGGGGATGGAGTGAGTGGGGGCAGAGCCTTAGAGAAGGGGCGGGGCTTCCGAGAAGGGGCGTGGCAGGGGTGTTTGGTTTTGTTTGATTAGAAAGTTGGCAACCCTAGTCCACCACCCAGTTTTCTCTGACTTCTGGGGCAGGTTGATTTACTAGATGTGGACAGGGTCTATGGAGTAGAGGTCTCTAGAAAAAGGCGAGGTTTTTAAATTATTGCTGACTGTTGTGGTGATATGGAGGCAGTTATATCTGTTGGAGCTCTATTCTTGTTCAAAATGATGTTCTTTAAAAAAAAAATTGCCAGGGATTTATGCTGCTTAAAACACATTTGAATAAATCTAACGAAATGTAGTAGGTGGATGGGTGAGCTGGCCAGTCTGATTCCCCTTATGAGTCACCTACTGGCTGTTCACGTGAGCTCCTGCCACTGGCTCTGGTAGCACCATGGTTTTCTCAGTGCTCTCATTCCTCTGCTTCAAGGCCCTTTGTTTTTGGTCACCACTTTGCAGTCGTCGTCCCCGTTCCCCGATGGCTCTGATGGGGGTAGAAATGGAGTGGTAAGCTCTCCACCTCAGACAGAAACAGTTTGCTTCCAGAAACACTGGAGTTGTGTTAGATTTCAGTAGGTCTTCCCATGCTAAGGTGTGCTTGTCTTTTCGTTTGTACCCACTTTACTTTGCTAGTTTGGATAAAATGGAACCCAGATGCAAACAACTCCTGATCAACAAGGCCGTCTCAATTCTCCTTTTCTTTAATCAGATATTTGAAGCGGCTATGTCCACCTTTTATCTGGGATTTTCCATTGGAGGGCTAGGCACCATCTTATGCCATACCATTAGGCACATAGGATTCTTACTACTCACCCTTGCCAGTTGGAAAAAATGCAGCATCAGAGTTGATCCAGGTCTGAGGGAGGAAGCAGTTCTGTTCATGCAGTATCTGCTCCAAAGGACCCGTGGCCTCAGGCTGTAATGACCATGTGTGTTTCCTTTTAACACTGAAGGATGTGTGTGTGAGAGAGAGAGAGAGTGTGTCTCTCTGGCTGGTGAATCTTGCCCACATGCTCAGGGTCTAACTGATCGCCATATTTGGGGTTAGTAAGGAATTTTGCCCCAGGTCAGATAGGCAGAGACCCTGGAGGGGTTTCGCCTTCCTCTGCAGCGTGGTGCACAGGTCACTTGTAGGTTTAAACTAGTGTGAACGATGGATTCTCTAACTTGAAGGCTTTAAATCATGATTTGAGGCCTTCAGTAACTCAGCAGAGGTTATGCATAAGGCTGCGATTCTGTCACGGAGGTCAAAGATTCCATGATACTAAGAGATGTTTTTGTGTTCTTGAAAATTCCAATGAAAGCGTTAGATTTGAGAAAAAAATGAGATCACTTATTTCCTTTAAAATCTGCAGTACAACAAGTGTCAAAAATCCCATTTCGTGCACCATTGTTGCCAGGGCCTGCGTTAAGGGGTAGCAAGCAGGGCAGTTGCCCGGGGCCCCAAGCCACAGGGGCCCCTACAAAGCTCAGGCAGCAGGACTCGGGCATCAGCCCCGGGTGACGGGGCTCGGGCTATAGCTTTTTGTATATTTCCGTGATTTATTGTTTATTGCCTGTGTCCTGTCCATGACTTTTAATAAAAAATACCGGTGCCAAAATCATAGCCTTAGTTATGCGTCTATTACAGGAGTGGGTGGGTGAGGTTCTGTGGCCTGCAATGGGCAGGAGGTCAGATGAGATTATCATGATGGTCCCTTCTGACCTTAAATTCTCTGAGATCTGCTGCTGAGACTCCTGGAGAGGTAAATTATTCAGACAGAATTTGGGCATGTGACTGTTCAGGGCATGGCTCTGGAAAATTGGCTTTGTCATCCTGTTTATTGGCTCTTAAATCTTTTATGACAAGCTGTAGTGCAGCTTTTGTTCAAGGCCATTGGAACATTATATTTTTTCATTCTTCCTTTCTCTTTCCCCTAACAGTTTAATGAGGCCTGAAAACTAACCTGGTGTAAAGCTGATTCTTATTATGATTGTAGGTTTTAAGCTCTGGGTTTCTGTAACGTGCCTGGTTTTTTTAAAGCTATTACTTGTGGCTTTTAGAATAAATTAACAAGCAAACCAACCTGATTATTTGCTTACATGACACATGAGCTGTACTGGTCTCATGAATGTGACTATGTTTTGACAGACATAGAAACAAAAAAAAACAGGAGTACTTGTGGCACCTTAGAGACTAACAAATTTATTTGAGCATCCGATGAAGTGGGTTTTAGCCCACGAAAGCTTATGCTCAAATAAATTTGTTAGTCTCTAAGGTGCCACAAGTACTCCTGTTCTTTTTGCGGATACAGACTAACACGGCTGCTACTCTGAAACCTGTCATAGAAACAAAAGATGCCTTGGTAGACCCAAAGGAAGGAGTTTACCCAAGCTCATTTTTGTCTATATCTACTATTTTTCATTTATTTCCCTTCTGATCCTCACTTTTTGCTGAGGGTTGGGACTGGCTGATCAGAGTCATGGGATTGTGAGTTCACTTAGGAGGTAGGAAGCTCACAAGTAAGGGTCTAGTGCTCTTCGGGTCCTGCACTTTGCAGTGCAGACATAAAGCCAGGCAATTCCCTTCGCTCCCTGGGGCGCATGGTAATGCTATCAGGGCACTGCCTGCTCTCTTCTGCCATGCATGAAAGAGAGGTTTTCAGTAAACTGCCCAAATAACGGGGTGCTGGTTATAAATTATTTGCTGATTGCCAGAAAGAAAGTCATGTCTTTGACAAATACTGTTTGACTATCTATAAAACTGGATGACTAAGGGAGAAAATTAATGGCTGAGTAAGTTATTCAACTGCTGATAGAAAAGCATCACAAATATTACTGGCTGACTCTAGTTTAAGCTCCTACCTTTCATTTTATTCTGGGAAGGAGTCTTCGTCCCCAGATGCTGCAATGTGTTAGCCCACCCCCTTGCTTTCCTGCCTGAGGCTGGAACTGGTGTGTAGCAGTGTCGGGTGCACTTTGGTTTCTCAGAGACGGGGTTAATGGGCTTGTTTAGCTCCTGTGTAGAATGTCTCAGTGTTTGCTTTTCTCTCTCCTGGGAAAACTCCTGTATCCATTACACTAGGGAATGACTTTGTGATTTGTGTCAGCATATGAGGCTCACAGTCTCCCTCCACCTATATGGCCCTGGAATTGTACTGAAATCTATATTAAACGGCAAGGATCAGTGTGCCAGTGAAAGAAGCTTTCAGTGCATGCTTTTCCCCAAAGGTGACCTACAGACCAGGTCAGGGCCCTCCAGTCTAGAATACTGAAGGCTTGTGGCCCTTCTTTATCTTCCCTATTCCAGCTGTATCCAGCCTGAGTACTGATTTTTGCAGGTGAATGTCAACAGAGCTATATTTCTTCATCCACATTTTCTCCCCTCCTTGCAGTGTGGGAATCTTCTAATACCAGTCGTTGTTTCCTGTTTCACATGAAGCTGTGCTGAGGCCATGTGATATTATTTGCTTAGCTCCTATTTAACACCTAGAGTTTTTTTTCCTGCTGTGCCATTGTTAATAACTCAGTGCTTTCCAATCCGAAGCTCTGAGGTAGTGACTGAATATCCTGTACCTTGCTTTCTTTGATCTATTCCCAAGTCTATTGTAACACCGTCCTTTCTGTTACTGCAGGTGACGCAAATTGTCTGATGAATTCTGATGAGTATTCTGTGATGGATAACAAGGACTTGGAAGCAGAGATCCACCCTCTGAAGAATGAGGACGGGAAAGCTCCAGATAACCATGAGAACTGTGCAGAGAAAGAAGGTCTCTGCAGGAAGCCCACCCGCTTGTCTCAGCTCTCCCGATGGCGCACTGCTGCCTTCTTCCTCTCATTATTCCTGTGCCTGATTGTGGTGTTTGCCTTTTCGTTCATCATCCCGTGTCCAGTGAGGCCTGTTTCACAAAGGACATGGAACAGGAAATATGACCGTGCGGGTGAGTCTGATGGACTAAACAGTATTTCTAAGCGCTCATTTCCCTGTGCTCATCATAATCATCAGGATTGTAGAACCCTGCCCAAAGAGTGGCCTCAATCTAGGGCAAGGGTTGGCAACCTTTCAGAAGTGGTGTGCCGAGTCTTCATTTATTCACTCTGATTTAAGGTTTCACGTGCCAGTCATACATTTTAACGTTTTTAGAAGGTCTCTTTCTATAAGTCTATAATATATAACTAAATTATTTTGTATGTAAAGTAAATAAGGTTTTTAAAATGTTTAAGAAGCTTAATTTAAAATAAAATTAAAATGCAGAGCCCCCCGGTGGCCAGGACCCGGGCAGTGTGAGTGCCACCGAAAATCAGCTCGCGTGCCGCCTTGGGCACGCGTGCCATAGGTTGCCTACCCCTGGTCTAGGGCCAGCAAGGATGTTGCCCATGAGAGTGTGAGCTGCAGGTATCCCAGGTCTTGATATGCAATGTCCTATCTTAATTGGAGTGGCCTTCTGGTAGGTGTTTGAAATCTTTTATACATAGGCAAATTAGTGCTGCCCTCAAGCACTAGAAAGGTAGCAGATTGGCCCTTGGTTGAGCAAAGCTTGAGAGGATGTTTTTACAGAATTGACCTTTATTGTGGTTGAACTTTAACTTAAAATGTTCTTTAGGTGCCTTTGACCTGAGACTTAAGAGCAATAATGGGGTCCTTCCTCCATCAGAAATGAGTACTTCTATCTTACCTTCATTGGATTAGTGAAGGGAGAGAATCGTGTCTGTCTTGTAAATTACTCTCATGCTTAATTCTGAAGAGAAATGTCCTTTTACTGAACTCGTGTGTGAAAAGCTAGGTAGAGCTCCATTATATGCCAGACCTTTGACACTACAGCCTTCTCTGCCCTCACAGCTTGCTATGCCACTTTAATTGTCCTCCTTCAGTTTAAGGGGAGGAGCAGTGCTTCTGTCTTGTGTGTTCCTAGCGTAACAAACCATGGCCACATTACACAGACATTGCGCACATCAGCAGGGATCAAACCCAGTGCTTATAAACACTGGCCTCTACCCTCTGAGCTAAAGGAGAGCTCCATTGACTAAGACCTAGTACCAGGCTGTTATATCTGCAAGTGCCAGCCATTAGAGAGAGACAATTGCATGCCCTAAATCAGTGTATTACATTAGCACAGTTTCAGACATTATCAAATTCTCAACTGTTTGACTCCCCTAACTGCATAAGGTTTCCTAATATTTACTGCTGGATACAACTGTTGTTGTATTTTTGTGGTAGTGCCTAGGGACCCCGATCCTAGACCAGAGATCCCCCTGTGTTAGGCACTGTTCTCACACTAGTATAAATGAAGTGCTGATCTATCTTGGCATTGCTTTCCCAAAGAAAAAGGGAGGGGGCAGCAACCAGGATTTTAAGAAAATACATTTTCCTCCAGTTTACCTGCGTTGTCACTGTGCCCTTCAATCCTGTTGATCCAAGCACTGCTTTCTAGCATCCGGTTTGTGATCTCTCTGCAGTGACCTACAAGTTTCTGGCTGTAGAAGATGTGAACGAAGACAAAGTGCAAGATGTTATCTTCGTTTTCAAAGATACCAATGGTAGCAGCAGTGTTAACAGATCCTGCTCAGATGAAGGTAACTGTGACTCTAAGCAGAAACAGACAGAGGCATAGTGGTGAGGGGTGTGCTTTCTCTTTTAGTGCTGGTCAGTAATGCTGCGATGACAGAGACCCCTTGGGTGGATGGAGTTGTCCTCAACAGAGATGAGGAATAAATCTCCCAAAGAGCTAGCATTCGATGCCTGTGCAGCACGTGTCTAGCCGTGCTGCGGTCTTCTCTCAGTCCCGAAGCAGGAACCACTATTCACCAAGCCAGAAGAAAGAGGGAGAATTGAGAGACAGTGTGAATATAAAGGGGAAACATGAATGCTGGTCATCTGGGGACGGGAAGGGGAGACAAGTTATCCCACTGAACTGGTTGTGTGCACGGACAGGTAGAGGGGAGGACAGTACTCTTCCCTCTGCAATGTGTTCTTTCTTCAGGCCTTTCCGCTCCATGTGCCTTTGTTACTGCTGTCTCGGGCACCAACGGCAGCACGCTCTGGGAGAGGCCTGTCACTGAAGACCTCCTGTGGATGGAGTGCGCCATTGAGCAGCTGGGTGGGGCTCAGTCCCCAGGCTGTCTTGTCATTGGGAACCCAGAGTTACTAACTGCAATCAACCCTCACACAGGTAGGCTAAGGGGCAGAACTTGACTGAACCACAGGGGATTCACACCTCTGCTATTGCTTTTCATCCCTTCTATCTCCTGGCGGTAGGGGAACCCTGCTGGTTTATGAATAAGGTACAGACTAATGCAAGGTATTTCATCAGCATGAAAACATAACCAATGCATCCACGTTGCAAACATCACTAAGGCTGTGAGAAGCCAACATGCTCCCAGCCAATTCAGTTCTTAAGCTGCCATTTTGTCCGTCTGTGTGTGTTGGGTACTGTCTGTATCCGCTCCTCCCCCCTCCCTCCTGGAAAGCATTAGGTGCCACCAAACAGCTGTTAGGAGGCGGGAAGCGCTGGGAGGGGGAGGAGCGAGGACGTGGTACAAATGGTGTCCCGATCGTACATTGATCGGGACAAAGGGTTAAATATCGGACAGACCCGATTTTATCAGGACATCTGGTCACCCTATTTGTATGATGCAGCTTGTGGCCTGACATGCTTTTTTTCCAGGCCCTTGTTATCCAGTACAGTTGCCTGAGGTACTGAAAAACTTGGAATATTGATTACACCATTAAAGTTAATCTAGTCATCCCTGGCTCCCTTTGATGGGATTTAATGTCAAAAGCATCCATCACCGAGCGCATTTAAGGATTCATCAGAGCTGAATAAATTTGTTCTTAATCAAGTTTTCACCTATTCAAAAGAATTCCCAGCCTATTCTACTACAGAAAGTAGCCTGGAGATTTTAACTGTAGATCCACCAGGCAGCCTTTTCACAACTCCCATTCAGGAGATTCTTTCTCCAAAGGGGGAACAGCCCAGCTACTTTGCTTCCAACAGTACAGGTGAGGACAATGAATTAAAGACCAAGACCTCCATGGTAGCATTCTCTGAAATGCTTCTAGTTCCACACGCAGGGCCAGTTAGGCAGAACTTCAGGGTCTCAATGGGTGGATGAGACAGTGGTGTAGAGAGGAGGGATTTAGATTTATTTGGAACTGGGGAATCTTTTGGGAAAGGAGGAGCCTATATAGGAAAGATGGGCTCCACCTAAACCAAAACAGAACGAGATTGCTAGCAGGTAAAATTAAAAAGTTAGTGGAAATAAACTAAACGCTGGGGGAAAGCCAACAGATGTGGATGAACACACGGTTCAAACAGAGACATCCCTTATGGCGGATTTATTAACAGCCCAGCTCTATATCTTAGTAAACAGGAGAGGATATGTATTGATCTGTCTGGGGATTGGTCCTGCTTTGAGCAGGGGGTTGGACTAGATGACCTCCTGAGGTCCCTTCCAACCCTGATAGTCTATGATTGATCAAGTACAGGTAGAAACTGAAGAAAAATAGGCAAATGAAAATGTCCCATTCAGTTACATCACATGAAGGCAGACAACTAAACTTTGACACATTTTATAAGTGCTTGTATACAAATGCAATAACTCTAAATATTAAGATGCATGAACTTGAGTGCCTAGTATTGAATGAGGATATTGATATAATAGGTATGATGGGTTCGGTCACAGAGACCCCCTTGGGGCTGTCACCTGATGTGCTGAAACTACCTCTGAGCCTGTCTTCCCTGCCAACTTGGGACTCCAGAACCCTGTCTGGCTGAGCCAGACATGCTAGACTGCTGCAACACAGACCCAGGGTCTGAAACACCCCCCCAAAGCTGCAGACTTAACTGAAAACAGCTCAGCAAGTACTCCTGTCTCCAGCACCCCGTTCCCAATGGGATCCAAACCCCAAATAAATCCGTTTTACTCTGTATAACGCTTATACAGGGTAAACTCATAAATTGTCCGCGCTCTATAATACTGATAGAGAGATATGCACAGCTGATTGCTCCCCCAGGTATTAATCACTTACTGTGGGTTAATTAATAAACAAAAGTGATTTTTATTCAGTATAAAAAGTAGGATTTAAGTGGTTTCAAGTAAAACAGACAGAACAAAGTAAGTTACCAAGCAAAATAAAACAAAACATGCAAGTCTAAGCCTAATACATTAAGAAACCACATATAGGTAAATCTCACCCTCAGAGATGTTCCAGTAAGCTTCTTTCACAGACTAGACTCCTTCCTAGTTTGGGCCCAATCCTTTCCCCGGTACAGTCCTTGTTAGTTCCAGCTCAGGTGGTAACTAGGGGATTTCTCATGACTGGCAACCCCTTTGTTCTGTTCCACCCCCTTTTATAGCTTTGGCACAAGGCGGGAATCTTTTGTCTCTGGGTCCCCACTCCTCCTTCTAAATGGAAAAGCACCAGGTTTAAGATGAATTCCAGTACCAGGTTACATGTCCTGTGAGACCCCAAGCCTCCATTCTTTCCGGAATGACTCACAGGAAGGCTTGCAAGTAAACAGAGCCATTTACAACCAATTGTCCTAGTCAATGGGAGCCATCAAAGTTCTAAACCACCATTAATGGCCCACACTTTGCATAATTACAATAGGACTTCAGAGTTATACTTCATATTTCTAGTTTTAGATACAAGAATGACACATACATACAAATAGGATGAACACTCAGTAGATTATAAGCTTTGTAACGATCCCTTACAAGAGACCTTATGCATTAAGCATATTCCAGTTACATTATATTCACACTCAGTAGCATATTTCCATAAAACATATGGAGTGCAACACCACAATAGGCATCACAGAAACTTGGTGGAATGAGGATAATCAATGGGACACAGTAATACCAGGGTACAAAATATGTCGAAATGACAGAAGAGGTTACACTGATTGGGAAGTGGAACTATATGTGAAGGAACGCATAATCAAATATAGTAAAAACCCTAAATCAATCAAACCGTACCATCGAATCTCTATGGATAGAAATTCCATGCTTTAATAATAAGAATATAAGAACAGCTATACTGGGTCAGACCAAAGGCCCATCTAGCCCAGTATTCTGTCTTCCAACAGTGGCCAATGCCAGGTACCCCAGAGGGAATGAACAGAACAGGTAATCATCAAGTGATCCATTCCCTGTTGCTCATTCCCATCTTCTGGCAAACAGAGGCTAAGGACACCATTCCTGCCCATCCTGGCTAATAGCCATTGATGGAGCTATCCTCCATGAATTTATCTAGTTCTTTTTTTAACCCTGTTACAGTTTTGGCCTTCACAACATCATCTGGCAAAGAGTTCCACAGGTTGACTGTGCGTTGTGTGAAGAAATACTTCCTTTTGTTTGTTTTAAACCTTCTGCCTATTAATTTCATTTGTTGACCCCTAGTTCTTGTATTATGAGAAGGAGTAAATAACACTTCCTTATTTACTTTCTCCACACCAGTCGTGATTTTATAGACCTCTATCATATTCCCCCCCCCTTAATCGTCCCAGTTTTACTAATCTCTCCTCATACGGAAGCCATTCCATACCCTAATAATTTTTGTTGCCCTTTTCTGAACTTTTCCAATACCAATATATCTTTTTTGAGATGGGGTGACCACATCTGCATGCAGTATTCAAGATGTGGGCATACCATGGATTTATATGGAGGCAATATGATATTTTCTGCCTTATTATCTATCCCTTTCTTAATGATTCCCAACGTTCTGTTAGCTTTTTTGACTGCCGCTGCACATTGAGTGGATGTTTTCAGAGAACTATCCACAATGACTCCAAGATCTTTCCCTTGAGTGGTAACAGCTAATTTAGAGCCCATCATTTTATATGTATAGTTGGGATTATGTTTTCCAATGTGCCTTACTTTGCATTTATCAACACTGAATTTCATCTGCCATTTTGTTGCCCAGTCACCCAGTTCTGAGAGATCCTTTTGTAGTTCTTCGCAGTCTGCCTGGGACATAACCATCCTGAGTAGTTTTGTATCATCTGCAAATTTTGCCACCTCGCTGTTTACCCCTTTTTCCAGATCATTTATGAATATGTTGAATAGGACTGGTCCCAATACAGACCCCTGGGGACTCCACTATTTACTTCTCTCCATTCTGAAAACTGACCATTTATTCATACCCCTTGTTTCCTATCTTTTAACCAGTTACCAATCCATGAGAGGACCTTCCCTCTTATCCCATGACAGCTTACTTTGCTTAAGAGCCTTTGGTGAGGGACCTTGTCAAAGGCTTTCTGAAAAACTAAGTACACTATATCCACTGGATCCCCCTTGTCCACATGCTCGTTGACCCCCTCAGAGAATTCTAGCAGATTGGTGAGGGATGATTTCCCTTTACAAAAACCATGTTGACTCTTCCCCAACAAATTATATTCATATGTGCGTCTGACAATTTTGTTCTTGACTATAGTTTCAACCAGTTTGTCCGGTACTGAAGTCAGGCTTCAGTATTATGGCCTGTAATTGCCGTGATCACCTCTGGAGCCCTTTTTAAAAATTGGTGTCACATTAGCTATCCTCCAGTCATTTGTTAGAGAAGCTGATTTAAATGATAGGTTACAGACTATAGTTAGTAGTTCTGTAATTTCACATTTGAGTTCCTTCAGAACTCTTGGGTGAATACTATCTGGTCCTGGAGACTTATTACAGTTTAGTTTATCAATTTGTTCCAAAACCTCCTCTACTGACACCTCAGTCTGGGACAATTCCTCATATTTGTCACCTACAAAGAATGACTCGGGTTTGGGAATCTCCCTCACATCCTCAGGCGTGAAGACCGATGCAAAGAATTCATTTAGTTTCTCCGCAATGGCCTTATCGTCCTTGAGTGCTCCTTTAGCAGCTCGATCGTCCAGTGGCCCCAATGGTTGTTTAGCAAGCTTCCTGCTTCTGATATACTTAAAAATTTTTTTTGCTCTTACTTTGGCTAGTCTTTGGCTAGCTGTTCTTCAAATTCTTTTTTGGCCATCCTAATTATATTTTTACACTTCATTTGCCAGAGTTTATACTCCTTTCTATTTTCATCACTAGGATTTAACTTCCACTTTTTAAAGAATGCCTTTTTGCCTCTCACTGTTTCTTTTACTTTGTTGTTTAGCCATGGTGGCACTTTTTTGGTTCTCTTACTGCGTTTTTTAATTTGGGG